GCGTGGTGAGGTGAGTGGCCTCTTGACCTGCGTACTCATCGTTATGAGCTGCTGACTCAGGAAGCAGCACAGTCATGCCTTCTAGCCTAGCAATCTCAACTCCATCAGCAATCACATCCAAAGCTTCGAGCTCCTCCGGAGAGAGCTCTGGCTCAATGTCTGAAGTGCGAGGCCGACACAGCTCAGGAAGCAACTCAGTGTCACCAGACTGATCCTCAAGAAAACTCTGGTCGTAATCCTCGAGCTCATCAAGCGTGTCACCATCAAACGTCAAAGTGACATTTTCATCTTCATGCTCATAACACACTTGCCTGATGTGCACAACGCAGGGAGACTCCTCTCCAGAGGTTACAAGCAAATCTCCAGCCGGCACTTCATCCGCACAGCAGCCAGGGGCGGTAATCAAAGAAATCTGCGCTTCAAGAGCCATCACTTGGTCATCATCAGACCTGCGGGCGACCTTGGCTGGTCGAGGATTCTCACTGAGGCCCAGAGCCTCAGAAATCAGAGGAGCGGATGAGGCAACTGCCCCCGCCTCGGCAGGAATTGCGGGCATCCCCGCCTCGGCTGAGCTGGGTTCACCTGCGTCAGTGGACAACACATCACCGTGACGATCAGAAAGAGCAGCATCCTCCGTGGCACTCATGCCATCAGAAGGGCTATAGTTGATGGATGTTGGAGACCGCACTGGCGAGTCGGTGCCTGCAATCTGTGAAGGAGAGCCTCGAGCCTCGTGAGGAAGAGGCGATTCTGCAGCGGCTGGTGGTGAAGGAGGAGGGCCAACGTAGGCTGGGATAGGCATTGCAACAGGAGCGGCTGGCTTCTTGTGCCCAAGTACAAGTTTCCCCCCTATGGACGAGAGCCCGTGCTCGAAAACACTCACATCAAAGCTGGCGGCAAAGTCCGGATCGAAATTGTCTTCAAACCTTCGCACTGAGCGCGTCACGAAGACGCCACCGACCAAACCCAAAATGTGGGTGTCATTGCCTATAGCTTTTCCAAGCCAGAGGCCGTGGCGCCAGCGCGCCGAGGATTTGCCGTCAGGTTTGAGGTATCCCAGGACCTTTTCTCCAAAGCGACAGATGGTGCCGCTGTACGCCGAATCAGTCACAGCCTCGTACGGAGTAGTGCCATGCACAGGCGTGTAACGGTTGCGAAGCCAGCAGGCATGGGCAAGGGCCCATCCGTAGATCGGATGCAGCGGTGGAAACAACACTTGATCGTCCTTGGCTCCACAAGCTTGCTCGAGATCATGCATTAGCACAGCTGCATGTTGCCTGATGCTCCCAACGACCTGCTCAACCGGACCATTGCTCTGGTGAGACTCCACAGGAGCGGTGTCCTTGGACACGTCGACACCAAGATTCCGAAGGGCCTTCAAGAGACCGGCTTGCACCGCAAGGATAGCGGGTTCATTATCACATCGGAGTCTGAGGGACCGGTGACCCAACCATATCGCAAACCTCGCGGATTCTGTAACCAAGTGACTGAGGCTGCTGCCGCCCTTCTGAGCCGTAGGAATGGCATGCACGGCTTTGGTGTGACGATCATGAAGAAACAAGACTGTCAGGCGGTCCTTGGCTTCTCGAACACCGTCATCGGCTTCCCTCGAGCAGTATCCAAAGTCAAAAGACAAGACAGACCGAGATCCAGGATCATGCGAAGCCTCAGACGGGTGGCGATCCTGTCTTCCGCGAAACTTGACACAAGCATCGCACCAGGGCTGGTACGGTTCATGTGTCAGCACATGCTGTGCACGATCGTGGTCCGAAGGAGCTGCAGGAACTGGTGGTGCATGTGGTGGCCGACTCAGCTCGGCGCTCAAGTTGTGATGGACCTGATGCTCACGCAAAAGATCGGACTCACGCAGATGGCGCACCAAACGCTCCCAACACTGGCTCTTAGACCCATTCTTACCCAAGCCAAGGCTGACAAGGGCAGCACGCATGACCCGAAGCGAAGAGTTGCGGTCAATCACAACACCGTTCACAGTGACGCTGTCAATGACTTCGCGTTCAGATGGAGCCGCCTCTCCACCTCCATCAGCCGCAGGAGCGACTGGAGCCGCTTGATCAGCACTCGGAGGGAGATCGCTATCACCTTCAAGTCCGCCTACACCTGCACCTTGATCGGCGGCATCTGGCATCGGAACCTCTGGAGCCTCAACAGAACATGCACCTTGAAGGGAACTTGGCACGTCATCGGAATCAGAGGGACTAAACCCTAGGCTCTCAGGACTTAGGGAGGCATCGTCATACGCAATGGTGATAACCTGTTCGACAGCCGGGGGCCCAAGCGGCAACGTACGATCCGTCAAAGAGCTCACATCGGCCGCCAACTCAGCAACAGTCCACCGGCCATCTCTGCGCACAAGTGTGGTGCGATACCAAAGCAACTCAGTCAAGGGAATCAGCGTGCTGTCGACATAAGCCTGCCCAAAAATTAGAAGCGCATAGCGTCTGGAACCTATCCTTTGCCACCCTGAAGAGTCAAGACGGAGCAAAGGACCATGCAATGCTGCACTGACCGCCCGCACTGCTGAAGGTAGAGCGTTGAGGACACGCACACTGCCCGTTGCGCATAGAGATTGCCTCTTCAACCTGACCGGTTCGGACAGATCACCGTTGGTGAGGATGAAGTCACTGTCACCTGAAGTGGAGGGGATTACGTAAAATCCTGCCTTGTACAATTTGCCCAAAGAAAGGAGAGGGCAAGTAACTCCTCCGATCAAAAACTTTTCACGGAACCTGATGGACCCAACACGAACCTCTGCAATGCGTATGCCTTTGGACTGCAGCAAACGGCCTGAAGCATCGACGAACCTCTGAGCCGACGATGGAGCAGGATCACCAACCTGGGCGTACGTCTCAGGGAGTGCACTGATATCCGCTCCTGAGTCCAGGATGATGTCTTCACCGTTGACACTAGCAAGAGCACGGACACTGCCATGCACATACACAGACGGCTTGAGAGGCGTTACCTGATCGGCATTACAAATGACCTGATGCACGGGGCACTTGACGGAATCTGCCAGGGATCTGGACTGATCTGCAGGGCTCTTGAAGGAATCTGCACGGGATCTGGAATGATCTGCATGGCACTTGAAGGGATCTGCAAGGGATTTGGAATGATCCGCATGGCACTCCAGATGCTTGGCTTCACACAGCTTCAAGAGCACATCACTCGGGAGGCTCAAAAGCTCGTACTCACAGATCGTATCCCAAGCGTTGCAACGAACCTCAGAGGGGTCACTGATCGAAAAGTGCTCAACTCGTTCCATGCTGCATTGAATCATGCAAACGCGGGTGTCTCCATCAAGAAACTCCTCATCACACTCAAAGGCTGTAAGGTCTATCTCCGCAAGCCTAGCAACCCGACCCTTTGCACCAACCTGAGAGGCACTCTGAGACGGAGTCACAGTCGAGATGGTGGATCCCGACTCCTCGGACACAGCCTGCACCTTGCCTGCCTTCAAATCGGCCTTGTACTTCCTGCAATCTCGCTTCCAGTGGCCAGATTCGTTACAGTACAAGCACTTATCAGCTGCAGGCTTGTCACCTTGCTTGCCTTTGGACTGACCTTTGTCCTTGCCATGATGACCTTTGCCTTTGTTGTCCTTGCCATGCTTTCCTTTGCCCTTGCTGTCCTTGCCTTTCGTTTTGCCTTTGCCCTTCTTGCCTTTGCCGGCAACACGGTCGATTTCCATAGGAATGGCACCATCGCCAGTCCCTGCACCTGAACCCTGCGCAACATCACCAAAGTATGAAACGCCTTGCCACTTGAACTGCTGCCTTTCGATGCGCAAGACACAGTCCCTCACTGCAGCATACGAAGCATCCTCTGGAAGGGTGGCATGAACCTGATTTCTCGAAGCAGCGGGCAAACAACGCAAAAGGAGCGCCGTCTTGAGCTCCTCCTGAAGAAGCTGTTGCGAAGCGCTCTCGTACTCTGTAAAAACCCGTTCAAGCTCAAGAATCTGTGGAAACATTGCCTCGCCAGATTTAAAAGCACTGACCTGTGTCAGGGCCGTCAAGATGCCAAGGCTGCGTGACTTGCTCTGCGGTGCATACAAGGAAATGAGCTGCCGAAGGGCTTCATACCCACAGTTCCCAGAGACCGACTTGATCACAAGAAACCCACGTCCCTTTACCAACACCGAGAGCAAAGCGAAGAGCTGCCGCGAGCGCGAGACGATGTCTGTGGCTGCGGGAGAAATGTTCACCTGCCGGTGCAAGTTTGATTTCAGCTGATCGATCTCTTCTCCGAACTTGGGGTCTAAGACAGTCAAATACTGCTCAAGAGACCAAAGCCATGAAGGCCAAGACCCCTCAGTGCCTACCCAACTACGCATGCATAGGGCATGGGCGGACACATTTCGGCTGCAAACTGCTGATACCGTTGCAGGGGAAGGAGGGCACCCTCCTTCCCAAATGTCTGAAATCACCATCACCGGGCCGATGGGCCGAAAGCAAAGCTGAAGCCGCCGCGGCCCACTTCCCCCATCTGGGGCGGGCGGGCGGGAGTCTCGAAATTGAGATATCAATCTGACCTGACACAAGCGAGGGCCTGAAGCAACAAAAGGCAAGAAGCAGGGAGCATGCTACGTGGTCTAGGGATGAGGGTTTGCTGTATGCGCTGGCCATTGTCCCAACCTACCCCAGCGCAGACAGACCAACCCTCAGTGCCTACCCAACTACGCATGCATAGGGCATGGGCGGACACATTTTGGCTGCAAACTGCTGATACCGTTGCAGGGGAAGGAGGGCACCCTCCTTCCCAAATGTCTGAAATCACCAAAGCAACGCCGCAGCCAAGAGCCCATGCCCGGAGCCAGAACCACAACACCACACGAAGCGCGACCGGCGGGGCTCCTTAGACAATTGAGCAGCACCACCACAACGCAAGCGACAAGCCACACGGCACTAAGCTCCAACTCCAACTGCACTTTGGGATAAAGAGCATCCTGCGCTTACCAGAGGAAGCAACTGACTGACTCGCAGCTAACTTGGCAGCTTCACCTGAGACAGACGGCCAGGTCTGCCGGCCTGCATGATACTCCGCCAATCCAAGTGCTTGCGCCGTGCCGGGCTCAGCTGGCTCCAGAAAGTGGCGTCGTGGGCTGCCCCCCGAGACAGGGCATCAGCCCAACAATTTCGGCATCCTGCCAGGTGGCTTATCCGCAAGTTCAAGTGTTCCTGCATGCAAAACACTGCTGTAGCCTGTAGGATAGATGCGAGGGGCTCTTTCATGGACAAGCCCTTGGCCGACGAGCAAACCACACCAAGGTTATCTGACTGCTGGCGCAGCGCAATGCATCCCACATTGGGTCGGCGGCTGCTGCAAGCGGTCTCACTCACCTGCATAACTAATAGTACCAGTTGCGCGAGAGCCTCCAAGGCGCAAATCGTCTTCTCAAGATCTGTGTCGTCATCAGCAAACCAGCCGGGCAAAGAATGGGCATCCAGCGGGATGGAGAGCCAGACAATGGAAGACACCGCGAGCGGCGCGCCCTCTGGCAAGAACCACCCACCAATACCGGCCACGCTGCCGGAAGCAAAGGCATCAGCGGCTGCAGGCCCGCATCCCCCAACACTTGTGGCCAGATGAACTGGAGACCGTAGTCGCACTGCGCGCAGGAAGAATTCTGCCACCTCCGCTTCTTGTCGAGAGGGTCGCACAGTCGCAGACTCATCATCCAGAAACTTCACCCAAGCGCGACCGTGCTTCAGGCGGCACGACTGGAGGTCTTGCGGACGGCGCACAGCGCAGCTGCCACACTCAGCAACCTGCCAACCCTGCTGCACATCCGACAAATTAGCACGCTTGGACAAACGCAGATTGGAGTCAAGAAGACGCTGTAGTTCTGCAAGCTGACTCTCGTCGAGGCATTGGAACCGCAATGCAGGTTTCAGAAGCATGTGAAACCATACTGCCATCCACGGCTTGAGCCACCGGGCTCCGCACGTGAACCAGGAGAGCAGTCCCACCAAGGACTGGAGGTCCCGGCGACACACATCGCCTCTTCGTATCACAACCAACAGGCCATTCACAATGCGCACTGTCTTGTCCTCCGGCAGGGAAGCCCGCGGCGCGCCCTGGAGGTTCAGCAACCATCCAACCCATTTCACACAAGGCCCAAGGGCCATTTTCTTCCAGGAGAGCGGTATTCCTAGGACACACGCCAAGGCGACGAGTAGGCCTGCCATTAAGGGGCCCGTGGCAGCTGGAAACAATGAGAGCTCATCATCAACATACATAGCCAAAAAATGAGCGCGATGCAGAAGCAAATGTCCAAGACGCACATAGCCTGCAGCAACCCTTGACCACCAGTAAGCGCTCCATGCCCCACCAAAGTGGCAAGTGCGATACACCAGCCACCTGGTATTACCTTGTGGGTCCACTGCGGTAAACACTGAGTAACCCTGTTCATCCGGGGCCACCTTGACGCGCTTGTGCGCTGTTTTGACATCAAGCACGAATGCAATCCACTGCACATCCGGGTGCCGCGAAATGAACTCCTCAACATCGCCCAAGCCCGGCAGTTCGATCTTCTCGGAGATGCGGCACATGTGCTGTCCCCCACGAGGCGGGGGTCAGCCCCATCCTTTTTTACTAAACCGAGGCGGCCAGCCGCACACTGTCGGCCAAACCGCTGACGCACCTCATCTCGCCCGCCAGGGATCCACTCAGCAAAGCCACAATCTACGTCTCGCTGCACCAATTCCATGAGGGTCTCCGGATCGTCCAACGCAGATCCCCACGGCGCATCTAGAACTAGCAATTCGAGGTTGGGGCGTGCTGGAACGTCGACCTCGCGCCAGACACCTGAAGGAGGGATTGTGCTTTGTATCCCGGTCGGCACACCCTCCTGCAAGAGAGGGATGAGGGCTGAATCAACATCACCTGTAAGCGCAAACAGATCTCGCCAAAAATCCAGGGCCAAGGGCTGGCCCGCCACAATCCTAGTTGAGGAGTTGAAGCCATGATCTTTCAGAAAAGATAAAAGGTCTTCGCGAAGACATTCGATCTCTCCGTCACTCAACCAAGCCTCACTCGACTGACAGGACGCAACGCGCTGCACACGGTGAAGCAAGTCCCACTGCTCGAAGCGAGATAACCATTGAACGCGCAACTGCTTCAACATATCCGCTGCCCTGGGGAATCGCCAATCTGCAGAAGACCCAACACCTCCCCCATCCCTGAGGCGCTGCCGACCATTGCCAGCTCCATGCGCAGGAAGACGCAACTCCACATCGCAGAACTCTTCAGGCCCACGCAACTCCCCGACAACTGGAGCCCTGGGTATACGCTCGCCCGATTCCCTGCTTGGAGGGGCGGGGCCGGCCAAACCAGGCGGCGTACTGTGTCAACGCGACTGCTGCTGCGGGCACTCTGCGGCATGGTGCGATTTGTCCCCGCACACGGCGCATGCGTGCTTGAAACGGCAGTTCCGATTCGCGCACCTTCCTTCAACCCAGAGCCAACACTCGCCATTGCGCACACGCTTCTGGCGCCCCAAGGCAGCGCTGCCAAGTTGGCGCTTGCCCTCTGCTTTCCGGGGCAGAGGCGGAAGGCCGGACGGCGTAGGCGGGGGGGGCACTTGGGCCTTTTCCCTTTCTGCCTTCAAGACCTTTGGCCGCTCAACAAGGACATGGCGAAGCATATCCCTGTCCACAACGATGTTCGTCAAGGCGTCATCGAGCGTGTGTCCCGAGAAGCATAACTGAAACACCTCTTCGAGCACAAGTCGATCTGCCGCTTCGGCTTCTTGTACTGTGGGGGCCCGAAACATGTCAGAAGGCTTGCGAGCATAAAGGGCCATAAATTTCTTCGTGTACACAACCCAGGAATGGAGGTGACAGGCTGAAACCAGTGCGAATGCATGCGCCCTTGTTTCCAGAGTCTGCTGGACGCGCAATGCTGCACCGGCTAGCTCCATGTCCCACTCATCTGGCGCCGAGCCATCGGGGGTAGGCTGCTTGCTCCGGCGGGCCTTGACCTCCAACAGCTGTTCCTCGCTGAGAATGCGCCTCCACGGCAGCCACTCGAAGAACTTGTCGCCTGCTTGCTGGTGGATGGACTGAAGAAAGCAGAGGGCGGGAAGTGTCTCGCGGGTCACAACACAGGAGGTGTAATCCTTTTCCAGTTTGCGTCGCATTTGCTCACGCCCAGCGGCAGTCAACTTAGTTCCTGCCCCTGGAATGGAACCGGCAGGGACCAAAGCCAATGCAGCCGGTGTAGCCGAAGCAGAAGGCGGCTGCTGTGCGGGCAACCCGGATTGCCATAACAAACGCAGGCGGGCAGCATGAGGGTGAGTGCCCCAATCCTCATCGCTGAGCGCAGTCAAATCTGCATCGCCAAGTTTGTGACGCAGCTTGTTCAGCCAACCCTCAAAGGCATTCTGATCAACAAAAGCTGCACGGAACAAGCCCTCCTCGTCATAGCCAAGCCGGATAATCGCATCAGCAGTAGACTCCTGCACCCCGGCTTGCAACATGGTGGTACGCCACGAGGCTGCACTGCTCGCAGGCATGACAAAGAGCGCAAAGCAAGCAAGGGAACAACGCAGAGCGGATGACGCACACACTGACTAGCGAGCCAAAGCACGCAGATGCTGGACCGCCGAACAAGGCCAAGGGTAGTGACAAATGCCTGCATCTCCACGAGAATAGGAAAGCAGCAAGGCCCAAAGCCCCTGCGGAGATACCGATCACCGACAAGAGCCCAAAGCTCAAACAAGAAAACGCAGCAGAAAGGCCCAAAGCCCCTGCGACATGACAGGCCCCAAAGGGCTGCGCGCAGCAACACAAACAACTGTACCACAAGCAAAGCATAAAGGCCCAAAGCCCCTGCGAAGTGACCGGCCCCCAAAGGGCAGAGCGTCACTTTATAGTAAAATAAGCGCTTGGGCTGCCTCAGCACGAACTCCAACAGCCCGAATGGCCGCATGACTTGAAACCATGAAAGCATGGGTTGCACGTCCAGTGCTCATACTGCTTTCCAAGCTGTAAACTCGGCCGACACGCCAGGACCCATGACTCAAGCTCGCTGCACCACACGGACTTATGAGCGCAGCCGGAAACTGTATTCAGAAGCCAGCTGCCTTCCAAGTCAGCCAGATCTGCGAGGCTAGGGGCCCCGCTAGCCACGCTAGCATCAGAGTCGCTCTCGAACTCCCCATGCTCAGAATCACTTGCGGGGGCGGCGGCCACTTCGGCGTCCGACTCCGCCTCTGTGTCGGAAGGCAGCTCGCCAGGCTCTGCATCCTGTCCCACTCGCGGAAGCGCGGGCACGTGCGCTTCAAACACCGCGGCATCCACACGGCCGAGGCCTCGGTCCACAGGCACATAAGGGCGCCAACCATCGCGCAGTTTGGCGACCACCTTGCGCTGGCAACTTAGTTGAGGATTGATGTCATCACGAGAGTAACGCTTCACACAGGCAGAGACGGTTGCCGATCTGTGATGCCCCTGTGCCTCCCGGAGCACCTCCGGTACCTCGACCTGTGATGACCAGGCCAGGAGCGTGGTCTTTAGCGAGTGCAAGGTGAACCGACTTGCCACGCTGGGTGACAGGCCAGCATACACAACGAGGCAGCGCCGGAACTGTGCCAGCATGCCAGAATAACCAAGCGGTTTGCCCTTGCAGTCTAGCACAAAATCACGCTGTGGGCACGCATCTCGCAAGCTACAAACTTCCCCGAAGAAAACTGCGGCCCAACCCTTATTCAAAAGGCCGCAGCAGAGGCAGCCCCATGGCATCCCTCGCTTGCTTGACTTAGTTCTCCAACACCATCCTGCTAGGTGATCGCTACCCAGCACAACAGAGGCCAAATCCAATCGCTGCACGTCGGACCAGCGCAAGCTCGCCCAAGCCATTACCAATAGCACGGATAAGAGGAGGCAGTCCTCACCGGCCCCGTTGATCAGTGCCTGCTCAAAGCGAAACAAAACAACCAGAGGAAGCGGCAACGCCTCCTTTGTTCGCTGCCGCGTCCACACAGCGGAATTTTGCCAGGCTGTCACTAACGGGCTCTCAAGCACACTCTGAAGCTGCTCCACTTGGAACTTGTAAGCCGCAAAATTCAACGCTGAAAGTACGCCGAGCGCTGTCTTGCGACGGCGGCGGCCGCGGTCTGTAATGGCACCCTCGGAAAGGCTGGCCAGGAAGTCTAGCATCTGTGACAGGCTGGGACGACATGCCGGCCAGGCTGCGCTTGCGCAAAATGAAAGCCAAGCACGCCAACCTGATAAATGGCGCCGCAGAGTTGCTGGCGCCCTATCCAGAAATAGGGGCATAAGACGCGCAGTGTCACCATGCCCCAGGTCAATGAACAGTTTGCTATCTTTCTGCACAACATCTGCAAAGCCCAACCAAACAGTGGCCAGACGCTTGCGCTCTTCCGACTCAGCTGCCGCCAGGCTACACTCGGGAAGAAGCGCAGAGGGTAGAGGACGCGCAGCAACCACAGATGTTGGCACTATGGGCTCAACAACTGCAGGTGTAGCAGCATGAGACGCCGGTTGTGTAGAGGACAAAGGGGGGAGCTGACCGATTTTCTTCACCTCCGGGCGAGGGCGGTCAAGCCCCGCACTTACCTCTGCACGGCGCACCTTTGGCGCAGGGCGGGGGATGTCACCCCCAACCTCCTTCAATGTGTAGGGCGCGGACCGCAGCATTTGAGCAACAAGAAGAAAGCAGAGAAGAAGGGGAGTCTCGAAATTGAGATATCAATCTGACCTGACACAAGCGAGGGCCTGAAGCAACAAAAGGCAAGAAGCAGGGAGCATGCTACGTGGTCTAGGGATGAGGGTTTGCTGTATGCGCTGGCCATTGATTGTCCCAACCTACCCCAGCGCAGACAGACCCAGAATGCTCTTGTTCCCTCGTTGCAGCACGGAAAGGCTCTGGACGGGGCATGATGCGAGACATGTCTTTGCCTGTAAGTCCCGACACCGAAGAATCACTGGCACTGCGCTGCCCTATCACCTGACCCAAGAGAGCTGTTGTGTTGCCCAGTTGATGCAACAACGCGGTCACCTGATCGCTCGAGACAGGACTGCCAGCAGCGGGCCAAGGATTGCTTTTCCTTCTCTCGCAGCGCTCAGTCTTGAGTAGAACGCCTAGCGTAGGCCCAGCATGCGCATGGTAGTTGTTATGCGCAAGGCATCTTTCAGATGCGAAGGGCACCCCGTGCCGTAGCACAAGAGCGAGTGCACCATACACGTCCGGCCCGAAAGCTCAGCAACGCGTATGCTACAGTAGAACAAAAGCACTAAGTCAAGGATCCCTAAAGGCAAACGACATGGCAACAAAGTACACTGTACAACTAACGGTTTCTACCGGCGTTCAGTGGACTAAGCACTCAGAAACATGGAATGAAATGAACGAAAAGCCATATCGCATCATGCAGTGCCCCCAATGGCACTCTCCTCGACTCTGCAAAGAAAGACTGCATCACAATCACGAGCATAAAGGGTTGTATCACTCAGTTTGACAGGCTTGGCAATCTTACCATTGGTATGTGCATGCCATCCAGTCTTCTTTGAGCTCGCCCAGTAACGAGCACCGAAAGGATCACCAGGTGCACCGTGCATAACCACAGACATGAGCTGATACGGTATGTTGTAAGTTGCAACACTCTCCGCATGGAAACATGGGACATGAACTGTTGTAGGTGTTTTGCCCTGGGTGATCAATCGCCACTCACCCGATGTACTGCAGAGCCACCTTGGGGAAACAACACAAAGGATATCAGGAGCCTGGACAAGTGCACAACGAGCCCCATGTGAACGCCATTCTGAGAAAAGTGCACTCATGTCCAGATGGCATGTGTTTCCAAGGATTTCCGCCTGCAGGCAAATCGGTTGCCATGTGTCGCCATCTTGGTTGCAAACGAACGAGCCATCAGGAGCAGCTGTTCTGGCCTCCCATCGTCCTTGCATTGATTGAGCCGCAGCCTTTGGCAGGATGTGTTGCAGCCAGCCTGTGATGGTGGGTGTTGTCGAGTCCCAGCCTTGGAGCCATGACCGCCACGGCAATGAAGAGGATAACCTGAACGATGTGCCCATAGCAAGGAATGACTTAACGGCAGGAGCGAGGCGACCTGTTAGGAAGTCCACATCATGTTGGTCAGCACCTGCCATAAGCCAAGCAAGCATGCACACCACCATGTAACCATGTCGATCATGCAAACTGAAAGCTGTAGTGAGGATCCCGGCCACCTTTAGCGCCGAAGAGCTGCCGCCATCTTTGCGATGTGCTGGGCGAGTGGTTGCAAGTTCATGCGCTCGCCGCGGATCCGAACCCCCACCAAACGAAGAGCTGCGCTGCCCGTCAAGCTGCGAAGCAGGTCGTGGGCTTGTTGTGCTCGGGTGCCCCTCATTGCCACCGACAAAATGAAGGGGAGTGTATCCCCGGTCGTGCGCAATCTGCACCATCTGAGTGTGTCCGATTGGTGGGCGGGTGGCATCCAGTTCCAATCGACGGCTCTCCGCATTCCACTGCTGAAATGTCCAATGAAGCTCCTTCTCGCCCTGCACTTTGACCCACCCCTGGGCCTCCATCTTTTTGATTGTAGCCTCGTCCTTGGTCATCATGTCGAGGCGGGTGACCCATTCCGCAAGCAGACTTTTGATTAAGGCGACCCGAAGTGAACTGGTAACCGTCGGCGGGGTTTTGTCCCGTCCCGCCTTCCAAGCCTGCGCCACCTGCCACAGCGGAGCCAGGAGACCGTGTGTCCCTGACTCTAGATGCAACAGGAATTGCTTTTCGGTGCGGATAAGTTGCAGCTCCTCCTCCTGTTTCAAGGTCAGCCTGCACAAGGCTTCCACCAGCTGCTCCATGTTCGGCCACGGATGCCTGTGTGGAGCACCCCAGTTGTTGGCATCCCAGCCGTTGGCATCCCAGCCGTGGTTGTAGTCCCAGCTGCCCCAGCTGTTGTGTCCCCGGCCTCGGCCGTCGTTGTCGCGACGTCCGCCCTTGCCTTTGCCCCCCTTCGGAGGCTGCTTGTCCTTGTTCATCTCGGGCTCCTGTCGTGACCTCTTGCCTCGGTTCGGCATTTCCTGGTCCCCCGTGGCCTCGATCTCCCACGGGTCCTGAAGGTTCACCGCGCTGATCTTCGCCAGAGCCGGCAGGCAGCCGGCGAACACATCCTGAATCTCGGTGTCCATCATGCCTGGCCATACAAAGTTTGAGGGCATGTTGCTGAAGAGGAACACAGGTATGTGCGTGATCGGCCTTCTTGATGCCTTTGGCCCCACACAGGGAGCAGGGAATGGTGATCGAGCCCGTCCACTCTGCACACAAGAGCTGCACACGAGGCTGCATGTTGCGCCAAAGCTCGCCGTGATGTCTCTGCATGTGTGTTTTGAAGCGCTGCTTGGTAATATCTGCAAGACAAACCTGACAAGTGCCACGCAAAGGTTTTATATCCTCCGCGGAAGGGTAAGGGGTACCGGCCAGGTCGGTCACATCGGCGGCCTCGGGAGGACCTCCATTCACGAACCAAGTCATGGCCAGCTGAAATAAAGCCGGGCATGTGGCACGATGATCCCTGCCTGCTTGGTCCTTATGTCCACACCATCGGCATGTGCCCTTAATGGGCGGGAGGTTGTTCATGCACCATACGCGGACACGACCACTATGCGCCTGCCACTCGTCACGATGTACACGACCATAATGAACCTTCATGTAGTTTTCATTGGGGAGCCAAGTTCGGCACAGTGCACACCTCTCGTTGAGCTCGGTCTTGAGGTGCGGGGGCGGTAGCTGATGGAAGACCTCCGGGAAAACAATTTCATCCTCTAGGACTTTGGCTATCAACGGGGGGTGGACGTCCTCATACTCAGCTTTTGCAGTAGCCTGGCAACGGCCAAGCTCGACATGCCGCTGTAGCTCCTCCCATAATCGAAATTTGTGCCCGCAATTGATGCATTGCGGGAGGCCGTCCTTGCCGTGAAGCAGCCGGTCAAAACGTTCACCACTCGGTTTGTCCTCTCCTCGCCTGTGTGCACTGGCACGGTGCTGGCGTAGGGACGCTGCAGTTGGAAAGCATTTGCCACAGTCAGGGCAGGGCAGGTCGGCAGCAGCACCCGTTGTTGAGTCCGGCTGAACAAAATTCTGGAGCTGCTGGAGAATACTTTCCTCATGCGCAAACAGTGCCGGGTCGAGTCTGACATCGTGTGGCGGGAGCTTGCCTTGGAGCTCGCGGGTCTTTTCCAAGACTCGGACCTGCCTGCCTGTGCACAAGTAGTTGCAACGGAGACTCCAGGCCGAGTCCTTCAAGAAATTGGGCGTCGGGCTCCAGGGTAATATGGCGTGGGCTTCCCGCGATGGCCCTGAGCTGCTTGACCAATTCGACCCTGATCATGGATGCACTCTTGGCTGTGAGACCCGAAGCCGTCAACGCGTAGAAGACTGTTGGCAAGATGTAGGCTTTCCATAGGCGGATCCTTTTATGTAGGGGCCAGGCACGCTTAGAGTGCAGATGTTGTCGTAGGCGATGGTATGTGGCGATTCCAGCCTGGCGTCTGTGGGCTGCAGTGTATTCTTCAAACCTAGCAAAAGAAATAATGGCGCCGAGGTAGACGTGTTGAGACTTGACGGGCAGGGTGAGGTCCGGGCCCAACATCAGGTGACACTTGCCTTCCACCTTCGTGGTGATTTTGCTGCGCAGGGCCGTTGCTTGGGAGCCGGCCAGTCGAAGAAGGATGGCTGTCTTGTCTTTGCTCACTTGTAGCCCGTGGCCCTCAAATAGAGCAACAATGTCCCCTGCTTCGGCAATGGCCTGAGTAACCTCGGCCTTGGCACGGAAAGTCCACTTGAAGAGGTTGTCGTCGGCATATCCCACCAGGTGTTGCCTGCACCAGTCGGAGCCAAATTTTTGCTCTAGGAGATGGGTAAGGTAGATGACCACACAGTTCCACAATGACGGCGAAAGTCGGCAACCCTGCCTGATTCCTTGCGTTGTACCGAAGCGCTGAGTGTGACCTTCACGTTGCACAACATAATGGGCAGCGTGAACCCACTGAAGAAGCAAATGGCGAAGCTCAGCCGGGACGCCGATGTGAATCAGAGAGGCCTCCAGTAATCCCCGGTCGACCCTGTCAAAGGCCTGGGTCAGATCAATACTTAAGATCATCCCCCCTGCCAATCCCAGCGACTTGTTCCCGGCCTTCTGCTCGTACAAGGAGCGTTGTTGAGCTTGGCAAATGCTACGAACAGTTCGGCAATGCATGAAAGCATGTCCCAAGGCCTGTTGCACTGACCTGTGAGGAAGAAAACCATACTGATGCTGCTCCACCATTTGTGGGATGATGTAAGTGTCGAGCTGATCGCGAAGGATTCCCGTAACCGCCTTTCCGACCGGATCAAGAAGAGCAATGGGACGGAGATGTTGAGGGGCATTCCCTGCCTTGTTGGGCTTCTGAAGAAAAGTAAGCCATGCATCGGCCCATGCGACCGGAACCGTGGCCGCTGCCTGTCTCCATGTCTGCATCAGCCCTCGCTCTAGTACTCGTGCCACAGAGGGTGCAGCACAACTCCATAGAACATGTGGTGCATAGTGGGCGGGTGCAGCTTTGTTGGCCGGTAGGGCCTCAAGGGCAGACTGAATCGCCTCCTGCTGAATGTCAAAAGGCAGCGGTTCCGGTGCCTGGCTCGGGACAGATGCGGTGGTAACCTCCTTCCAATACGTGGCTAGGGCCTTAGCCTCGGCTTGTGGCATTAGCAGCGCCCCCGTGCTCGACCGAAGCTGTGCTCGTGTTCGGGGCTGTTTGGGGGCATGCCTGCGCAACAAGAAGAAAAGTTGATCCACACGGTTGAGGTAATCAGCAGCCTCGGCCCGACGAAGAAGTTCGTTGAAACGGTATCGCCGGAGAAGTCTGCTGTTGCGGGCCACAATTTTATGCATTTGCTGAAAGCGAAAATGGCACCTCCAAGCACGAAAGCACGCACGAAGACCTGAGACTGCTGGCTGGCAAGTCTGCGCTGCAACCACATGTTCTTAATGGTGCCCACATGTTGGTGATGTTCCCAGGGCGGCTGCAAACTGCTTTGTCGCTCGATGGAAAAATTTTGCTGGCCGGCCTTCAGGATGATGCTGTTCACTTGCTCCGGTGTGTAAACAGAAATTTGGCTCAGCTCGTGGTCGACCTGTGCCTGGAAGGCCTGCACATCCGGACCATTCTGAGCAATCCTGGCAGTGAGCAAGGTACACTTCCATTGTGGCCAGGGTGGTTGAGGCCGGGGCTTCACGAACTGAAAACGCCTGAAGTGCAATGTGACTGTCACAGGTAGATGCCGTCCACCTCCACGCCAGCGAGCCACTGGACAGTCACCAATGATGCGAGAGGCTGTCCTGAGTGTAGCACCTCGCCGCCGGACCATCACAAAGTCCAGGAAGGAGCGGTACTGCTTGCCGCGTTGTTCAAGAACATGGGTGTAGCTACCATGCTTGCCGAAAGTGTTCACAGCCTGCAACCCAAAGTCCTGCAAGATGCCCAGCATGTCGTCTGAGTCCAGGGAGGCCTCCTTCTCGCCATCGCAAGTGCCTGCACCTATGCAAGGAGGAGTGGGCTTGGTGATCGTGTTAAAGTCGCCACAGAGAAGCAGCTGGCTGCCTCGAGGAATCTGACCAAGGGTGGTGCGTAATGCCGTCCACACCTTTGAGCGTTTCTTCACGATCTCGGTGTCGCTCTCTCTACTCCCCCATGCATGCATGTAGGTGCCTACGATGTCCACCCAGCCGTGTTTGCTTTGCGCCCGAACATGGAGAACTCTGCCTGCAACTACATGATTGTAGCGAATGGTGCCGCTGTCAAAGACCGACCTCTTGAGCATGATCATGACTCCTGCCTGTGCTCTGGACACCGAAGTGCCCACTCCGCTTTGGACACATGTCCACTCGCCCGCAACAAACTCCGAGCTTTCCCTCATCCAAGTCTCCTGCAAGCAGACCGCGTCACATGAACATGTTTTGAGCCATGTGTAAAATTCGTCCTTGCATGTGGAAAATCCGCCGCAGTTCCAAGTCAAAAGCTTGATCGCCGCTGATGCCTGGGAGTTTGCACCGGATGTGGTTGGCTTAGCTGAAGGAGTCTGCTGCGCCGCTGGGCGATACTGGGCTTGAAGCTCGTGAGCCTGCATGATACGACCACGATAGCGAGCAAAGCCATCCCGACCTGCTCGCGCGACTGCTCGTTTGTATGATCTTTTCCTGGAAAAACTGTAGCTATGTTGGCCTCTAGCACAAAGTTTCGCAGCACTGGTCGAAACGTCTTCTTCATTATGAGCGCTGCTCCTCAGAGACGTGTGCTTCGCCTCTGAACCCTCGCCTCTGCTGTCCAGAGCTCCCTGTCGAGACCCAGACTTCACAGCCGACGGACTTGGGACCGCCGCGGCCACATCACATCCATGTAAAGCTGCTGCTGTTGTAGTGCTCTGTAGAATAAAATTGTCATGATTCATGCCAAATAAGGAAATCGTGAAAATCGTAAAGGAAAACCATGAAAAGTTGCACCAAGCGCAGTGAACAGAGGCACCGACGGCTGCTGAAAACCATGCGAATCTACAGCTACCCCGCCCCACCCACCACTCGCAGCAGAAACAGGATTGAGCCGAGAGGCTTGCCAAGGATTGCTAGACACAGTCTCATGTATCGGCTGCAAAGGAGGGAGCACTGGACCCCCAAGGTCGTCATCGTCATCATCTGGCACAGCTTGTGCCGCGGGCACTGCAGCCATCACTGCAAGCTAAGGACGAGAGGCGCTACTTTCACCGAAGAAACAAACTCCAAGTTTGAAAAGCCTGGGCCCTTCCAAAGAACCCCGAAGGCTGCACGTGTATGTTGCTCGTTGTGCTACGTGTAGCAAGGGAGTGAGGTTTCGGCTCCCAGGAGACGCTTGTCGGCCAGACCCAAAGGAATGAACCGGTAAGCGCTCCGCTACCATGCTAATTCTCACTCAAACACAAGCGCCTGCGGAGTACACAAGTCAGCACATTGGGCTCAAATGAATTACGGAGCTCGCACAAATAAAACAAGTACTCAAGTAAATACCGGCCAGGAAAACAAATGGAAAATACGTGTACATACAGTACGAGTACAAGGCGTGCAAAGTTTTGCAAAATCACTGGCGCAGAGCAAGATGTGCAAAAGGGCAACCTGCCCAGAGTGACAAACCCTGAGCAAGGAAAAGAAGAACGCATCTTGTAGAAGGTCACGTTCAGGGAAAATTTCGGGAGCGACCGAGAAAGTATCACAGCCAGCTCCAAGAAATGCTGCTGAAAGAGGGCGCCGGGCCCCCCCGTTGATGTCCAGGAAAATGCCTGAGTCGAGTTCCGAGACAGAGCATGCAAAGTTCTGAGGAGCACTCTGTACCACGGGCTCCGGAGGAGTAGCACATGGTTGTGGAAAAGGAGCATCTCCTGTAGCATCTGCAGGCAAAGCAACTGGAACCAGGCCTTCCTCGCCTGCATAGTCCGGGCCCGGTCCCCCTCATGCACCTGCCTTTTGTGCATGCTGAAAAGCCGGATGCTTCTGCAGGCAAATCTTGCCGTTCTCCAGGATCACGGGGCAAAGGTGCTCAAACTTGCAATTGTTGGAAGTGCAGCCTTTGTGGGTACTGTATGCCATGCAAAGCACCTTGGTCTCACCATTGATCTTCGCTTTGTTTGCCCACTCAAAGGCATGTGTACCTTTGGTAAAGGTAGACTTCCCCTTTCCTGGAGTTGTGCCGCCTTTGCCCCCTGTGGACTTGCCTCCTTTGGGGGTAAGGCCCTTCCAGGGCTCCTTGCCACCCTTTCCATCACCTTTCTTGCCTTTGAAAGGAGCGAGTCGAGGAGCAAGCAAAGCAACCAGCTCGGCACGAACGTCAGTGAACTCATGTAAAGCATCATCCACCGACCAGCCTTCCTGCCGAAGTTGGCCAACGACTTCCCAACATCGACGATCTGCTGCTTCGCACTCCTGTGCATTGGGCGGACGCAAAGTTGGGTCTGGTCTTGCCTGAACATGTTTCAAGAATTTGCGCTCATAGGAACGTAAAGTAGCAAGATGAGCGATGTCCGCAAGCGCGAGCGCGTTGGAATGTATGGAAAGTAAATTGCTTATTCCATATAATCCCATGTTCTCCGCAACGTTGCGAGAGGGCACGTCGTCGTAAAGGACGTCGGTAAAGTTCTCAAATCTCGCCAACTTTCTGGGCCTGGACGAGTTGTAATCCTCTTCTTGTTGTTTGGAAAGTCTATGTTTCCAGGAGATGAACTTCCAGTCCGACGTGCCTTTAAGCCTGTAAGCGAGAGAAAGCAAACGCGCACTCGGAAAGTTGGTGTCATCGAGAATTTCGGATGGGTAGGATTTCTCAAAATCCCGCTTCAACTGCAAAGTCGTTTCCGAGGAGAGCTTGGGAGGAAAGGTCTCCGCCCAAGACGTATGCAAAGTACTCGCAGAGGAATCTGAGGCCACCGACGGCAAAGTGCATATCTTGTGAGCCTGCACCCACAGCATCCTGAGGACAGGGAGTTCATCTGCATCAGGTGACCAGCCTTTGGAAGCCAGGAAAGCATCAAGACCTTCCAGGTTTACGGTGCCAAGGCCAAACGAAAGCAAAGTCAAATCACCAAGAGAGGCTGCAGATGCCGGAATCGAGAGTTGCAAAGCTGTGGCTAACTGCTGCATCGTAGATCTCGAGGATAAGGAATCCATAACCTGACAAGCACGCTGGTGGCAGAGGTAAAGCAAGATCATATGCGAAAGTGCAACAGGGCAAGCCGAAATTTTTCTCGAAGAGCAAAGGAAGTCGATGACGCGTGCTGCTGGGTCCGGAGGCCCGTGCAAGGCTGAGCAAAGCATACCTACAGTGAGCAAGACGCTAAAGTAAAGTAACAGCTGTGGGAACCCAGCATTGACGCAATTAAGAACTTCACCGCCAGAAAAAGCACCGTAAAGGACGCGTCTGGCGGTAAAGTATGACGCTACTGCCCGTACGCATTGCAGAAAGTATTGCGCCCCTGACGTCGACGGTATTCTCCATAACAGAGTCTGCAGCGATGGACATGTGCATGAGTAGGGTCAAGCAAAGTAGCACCGCATGTACCTGCTCCTGAGCAGCTTGTGCAACCTTCTCGGCACCAGAATACCGTTGCCCGTTGGATCAACTGTGTTTCGCCCCACGAGGTACGAAACACACGCTGGTTTTGCGGTAAAGTTCTGGTACCCGCACCGTCCGTGGGTTCTGAGCTTTGCGGTAAAGAACTACCGTCTTGTGCTGGGGTAGTCCCCGAAGTAGCCGACGATCGTAAAGGAGGGGACGAGTCGGTAGAGGTCGTCGAAGGCAAAGGATCCGACTGGGTAGCCGAAGTAGAGCCAGCTGCACCATCTGGAGGCGGGTGCAAAGTATCTGAACTCCCCTGGGATGCCCGCAAAGAAAGCCAAAACTCCAACCACTGCTGTCTATCGTACCCCATCCAATCTTCAAAGAATGAGGTAGCCTGCCACAACTCTGCCTGCGAAAGCTGCGAAAAGTTCCACGGCACATAGTTGAAGTCCTCAGCCTCCTCCGTGGTGGGTGTAGGCAAAGAAGAGGGCGGCTCATCAGTGGAAAGCACCTCAGTTACCGGCGGGGTGGAGGGTGGATCCGCATCCACGGTGCACGGCAAAGTTTCGCCCGGAGCTTCGGATTCCGTCTGCAAAGTAGTAGTGTCCGGGCGTGGGTCCCAGCGCTCCAGGTGTCTGGTAATGTCGCTAGGGACCCAGGGCTCTGAGGAGGCCCACGGTTCTTCCTCCCAGGAAGGCGCCGGAGTCGGCACCCAGTCCTCTGTGCCCCATTCGTGGCCAGGGCCTTCCGAGGCTGGTAAAGTAGATGGGGGAGCCTCTGCAGGTGTATGCAAAGTAGAGGTATCCTCTGTAGTAGCCCCATCAAGTTCATCCGAGGGTGCCGGCTCCGTCGTAGTAGTGCAAGGCAAAGTAGAGGCGAGATCCTGGGTCGAGGCATCCACTTGATCTTGCAAAGCTGAACGCCAGAAGCTGAACCACTGCTCACGGGAATAACCGTCCCGCCCTGCGAAACGTTCCGAGGCATCCCAGAGATCCCAAGCCGAGAGCTCCGAAAAGTTCTCCGGAAAGTAGTCACTCTGTGCCATGACGCAAAGAAAAGCGGAAGCTTGCGAAGGGAACGCGTGCAAAGGCTCGGGCAAAGCTCTACGCGGCACACGAAGCTTCACATGAGAGACTGTGCTGCTGCTTGCAACGCTGAATCACAAAGTTGGCATGTGACTACGCTGATAAGCACGCAAAGCTGACGAAGTGTGACGCGAATTCGGCTCAATTAGGCCGAATATATCTCGAAGAAGCGGGGTCTGATGACCCGTTATGACGCAAACAACGCACGCACTTGCTCAAGACGCAAGTAGCGCACAAATGGCGCACATTAGGACGCAACAATGCGCCGATTAGGACGCAAAGGCGACGCAACACATACCGTTGGCGCACACTAAGGCGCAAAGCTGACGCAAAGCAGACGCAAGCGACGCAATTAGCGCACATTAGGCGCACATTAGGACGCGAACACTACGCCAAGCCGAATTTGACACACATTAGGACGCTAAAGTTGACGCAAAGCAGATGTATCAGCTTTATCGGCGCGCATCTGCCGCCAAGTGGGCGCGGGAATCATGCAAAGCACTGCAGTGTTACACATGTACTGTAACAGCACCCTTGAACAAAGCTGACTTGTCACAACAGTTGTGCAGCAGGGCCTTGTACGCAAAGTAGTCGGGAGTCCCCCGAGCTCCGATACGCTAAAGCTGGAAGCGAGCCGAGGCTGTGACAGGCGAGGCTGGTAGCGAACAGTAGAGGGGAAGGCATATGCACTGCACTCACATGCACTCCCTGCCTGCACCTGACAAAAATTTTCCCGCGAAAGCTCAAAGCTCCAAGCATGCCTTGTGTCTGCAAAGCTTCTTACCTGTGGGTGCAAAATGCACAACTTGAAAGACACTGACTATACACCCGCAGGCAGGTTTCAGATGCACTCCTAGGAAAGTGGTGCAACGGTCGAGCTCAGAGCACACCACCGCCTTATGAATAGTCTTGGCAGTGATGATGAAAAGAAGCTCATCCGGAGTGCCTGACTCACCTGACGAGTGCA